ATCAGTGTGGAAGGGAGAGGAACATTTTATAAGTAAAACTGGAAAAGGTGCCATTATGAAAGTCAACAAGTAATACGGGTAGAGATAGGTGTCAGAGAAATAGGAGGAAAATAATCTGGGGAATGATATAAGGGAACAGGGGAAGGTGGAAAGGTATCAGGGATAATGTCAGGAGGGGAGGGGTTTGGAGGACACTGTTGTGACAGAAGGGAGTCACATGAGCATCCAGGTAGGAGTGGTAAGGATAAAGGGGAAAGAAGAGGGAGTGGTGGTACACGTGGAGGAGAGGATGGGGTGTTTTGGGGAGAGAGGGGAAACTTGAGGAGTATCAGCAAATACTTTAAATGCATAGTGAATAGTAATAGAAGGTCTGAAAGATGGATGAGAGAGTGAAGCATTCTCTTGGGTTATGTTTAGGAAGTTTTTTTTTATGTCAAGAATTTCTGGAGGGGAGTTGGGTGGGGAAGTCTGAGAAACAAAGGTTTTCTTGTGAGGAGCAGAGGAAGAGGTGGGTGTAGGAGAGTAAAGTAGGAGAATATGGGGTGGAATATTTAGATGCCTCTTACGATAGATAAGTGAGAAAGAGTAGGGGTTGGCATCGAGGAAGTGACATATGAGTACTGGATTTAGAATTGCTACCTAAGATTCGAGCTTATATGTAGGACAACTATAAATTATTTATGGGAGCCTCCACAATTGGCAAACGTGTATAACTGAGCAGGGCAATTTGAACGTTCATGGCCAGGTTGGGCACCCAGAGGGCAGCAGGCTGTAGAGTTACAGCATTTAGTTGGGTGTTTAAAACGCCAACATTTCTGCACTAGCGGGGAAGGACACTCCACCAATATATACTTCATGGAGAAGGTCGTCTCAGCGGAAGCTAATCTTGTTATAGATGGGTACGGTCCAGTTCAGTAATATTTACGAATTCTGCTTTAGCTCGGGCCTTTTCTCAGGAGTGGCCCGGCCAATGGAGATGGGAAACTGTTTCGGTACAAGTATGAAGAGAGGAGGGAGGTTCGGCAGGAATAGCTTTGCCAGTGAGGTCAGTCAGGGTAGATAGAGCACCAGCTTGGCACTCAGATGTAACTGTAAGAAGGCATGAACGATCGGAACGAAATGAAACGCATACTTGTTTTAGAGACATTGTTAGTAGAGAAGGGTATTGTCGGATTAAAGGGTTGTGCGGGGAACACAAAGAATCGATCCCAATTAGCTCGACCAAAAAGAGTGCTTAAAAGGTTTGCAGAGGTGGAATCAGTAGAAGGACGGAGGCGGGAGGAAGGTGTGGTGGTATGGAGTGAGGCAGTACTGTGGGGAGGACAATAAGGTTGAAGAGTAGCAATGAAGGAGAAGGTGGTAGACAATGAAGAAGACTGTGTAGCAGATGGAGTGGAGGATGTAGGGAGGGGAAGATGCATATTCTGAAGCTTGAATAATGATCAGTGTGGATGATTCGGAAAAGATAGAGTTGTTAGTAAACATCGAGGAGAGTGCATTTGTCAGATTTGTGGTAAAAGGAAAGGCAAGGCTTGGTAAACCAGAGAAATCAAATTTAGATAGGCTAGTTCATGAAGGGGCAAGTTTTAATGTCCCTAACATGGGTAAAAATGGTGAGCCTAAAATAAGTGGGGAAAGAAACAATTTGCCCCTCAGGGTTCCCAAAAGAGACAAAGGTTCACCAAGGGAATACAATTTTATAAGTAGAGAATGATTTCATAGATTGTTTTTTTCTTTTATACACACACACACACACTCTGCCTCGGTACTGCTGCTTATCCAATTTGTAGCCTCTACCTCCATAGTTGGCAAGCCTCTGCCGTCACCGAAGCCACGTGGCCCTGAGCTACCATATAATCATTACAGGCCATTCACTACATGCTTACTCCTTTATTAAACTCATTTTAACGTTCTTGACCCTTCGCAGTCACCACGAACAACACGCAGCACATCCTTTACCTGGGATGGGGCCGATAACGAGGTAACCGATAGACACAACAAGCATCGTCGCCCCAAACGTCGGCACGAAGTCGTCCAGTCCCATGTAGTCGATCATGATTAGAACGTAGATGCTCATGATGATCCCTTCGCCGATGCCCCACACTGCTAGGACGACCGTCAGCCACAGGACGTCCTCTATTTGCGTAAAGGCTGTGGGATGGCATGAGAAATCCTGAAGAAAATGGCATGGAACTCCCGTGGAAATTTATCGGTGAAAGAGAGACGTGTGTTGTGCACATTTTGATATTGGATAGATTTTAATGAAAGGTGAAAACAGCAGCTTTTGTCTTTGCTGGTTTTACCTGGAAATAAAATTGGACATGGAATACTGATTGGTAAGGTGATTTCTCTCCACCGGAAGTAAGACGTTTTGACAAAGGTTGCTTCTCTCTCTCTAAAAAAAATGGTCTCTGAAAATGATCACTTTAACAGAGCTTTACCGGAATGCACATTGTATATCCTTTAATATCCATCTGCTTGTTTATCTACCTGCCTATCA